CGGAACAGAGAGAGTCCCGCGGAGGGCAGGGAGAAGGGCCGCGGACTGGGGAACCTGACTGATGCGGACAGGCGGAGGGACCTGGGCTTATTTCAGGGGCGGGCAATCATTCCGGGCAGAGGGCCGCTTACTGGGTCTTGGCAAGCCATCGAGGGCCGCATGACAGGCAGCCGGGGGCAGATTCATATTTTCTACATTTTTTAGGGGCCCCGCAGGCCGGATACAATGGCCTGGCAAGCCGCATCTGGCCCGCCGGCCGCATTTTGCCCACCCCTGGCTTCTTTAGTCTGGAGAAGAGAAGCCTGAGAGGGGGGTTTAATAGCAGCCTTCAAGTACCTGAAGGGGGGATCAACAGAGGACGGAGGTGGACTGTTCTCAGATGACAGGAGCAATGGGCTTAAGATGCAGCAAGGGAAGTCGAGGTAGGATATTAGGGAAAAAATGTCTCATCATGAGGGTAGTAAAGTGCTGGAACAGCCTACCCTGAGAGGTTGTGGAGTCTCCATCCTTGGAGGTTTTTAATACCCAGGTAGACAAAGCTTTGGTTGGGGTGATCTAGTTGGGGCTGGTCCTGCTTGGAGCAGCGGGTTGGACTAGATATGACCTCCTGAGGGCCCTTCCAACCCTCACTTTCTATGCTTGTGTGAACTCAGTGTGGAAATAATGTTGAGTGAAACACCGGATGCACTTGGGAGCAGCTCAAGAAGGCTGATTTTGTTTCGTGAATCTGAAAAAGAGCTGTCCATTTAATTCAAATGACTACAGCACTAATGAAACATCTGTTGATTATTTTGCCTAGTTTGTTGTGTTTTATACATCATACATGGTATAGCAAATGGATGCACATCCCAATGAAGTTTTTCTTCCACTTCAGTCCCAAATTGAATAATATAGCCCTAGCCCCCTTGCATACAGTAAAGCTTTTAGTTTGTTTTTCACTGGAAAAAAATGGGTGTTGCGTTATATATGATGATGCACCACACCATCCTACACCCCCTTTTCAAAATCCTAGATCCACCCATGCTCAGACATGCTGGGCGTCTGTACACATGCTCTGAGGTGGAGGCGGGGGGCACTTTAATTAGAGTGGCTCTTAGAGCAACACCTTAGATGCAATGTCACGTGTATTCAGCTTGTTCAACAAGCTTTAATTAAAGTGCCCCCACACCATTTTGAACTGCGGGGGACACTGAGTACACGTGACGCAGAGGCTGCTGGAGCGTGCTAATTGGCACACATTGGAGCAGAGGTCCATCACATGTATAAGTGCCCGCTGTGCTTAAGCCCTTGTTATTTGGAACCCAGCTCCAAACGGCAAAGTCCCAGCACAGGCCTGCTGGCTATTGTTTTAATTTGCTAGCCTGGATAGTTTTACAACATATAGAGAAGCTTCCATGCCCCTTGCCCTCCCCCACCATCCAAATGGGAAGCTAAATAAAAGGGAAAAGCTTTAAAAATATGTCAGATAGTTCCCTATATACTGTCTCGTGGAAAGGGATGAATTTCAGCGGTGCTACCCACTGCCATGGTACCTAGCCTGATCTGCAACCCACTGGGCACGTCTACACAAGATGTTTACTGAGGAGCTGCCTAATTAGCTCCACAGTAAACATGTCCACATTTACACATACACCTGTTAGCCTGCTCTGGAGTTTTTTTGTGCACAGCAGCACACATGTAGATGGTGCTGGCTGGCTGGGGCTTCAATGAGGGGGCTGCCACACAAGCCCCTCAACAGCACCCTTGTGCCCCAGCCAGTCCCTCCCCAGTACATTGAGCCCACTCGGAGTGGCCCTGGGCTGCTGCCAGCTAGGGCTGCTCCAACCAGACTCAATGTGCTGCACACAAATAAACTCTTGAGCAATATACTCCAGAGTTTTTTGCTCCTGGATGCACATTAAAATGACACACCCAGGAGCACAAAACTCTGAAGCAGCAAGCTCTGGAGTTTATTCATGTGCATTAATTGCATGTGTAGATGCTCCCACTGATACCAGTGGAAGTCTTTTCCAGAGATTTCAGTGGTGTTTGGGTTAGGCTCTAAGACTTTGTCCCATAAGTGACCTGCCCAGGGAGAATTTAGGTTTGTATCTTTGCATGCATGGTATTAAAAAGGCCTTAAAGGAATTAATTAAAAATTATTCTACTTGTATTTTACACTAGAATGAGGCCAACCTTATGGGGAGCCAAGGTAAACATCTGCAGTGTTAGTTGTTGTATTTGTCCATGCTATCATTTAAAAATGTATTAGTTTGTCCAATAAAAGTTATCACCCACAAAAATATTTGCTTTGTTTAAAATAACGTTTTATTATAGCCAAAGCAAGCCCAGGGTCCCCACCCTTTGAAGTGAATGAAGGAGTTCCTGCCTTAGGGTGCTGCTTCAGACCCTACAAATTCAGGGACACTGCTGCACCAGCTACTATTTCCTTGTTGTACTGCAAGCTCAAACTCTGGAGGAGATTTGACAAGATGCTCCTGCACCCATTGTTTATGTCCCCAAAGGGGAATATCTAGGGTGACCATACATGCTGTTTTCACCTGCCTCCATTTAAGCACCTGTCCTAGGCATCCCATCAGTTTGGCCAAATATGCTTTTATCCTGTTTTCAGCGGGATGCCTAGGGCTGGTATTTAAAACAGAATTGTTGTGCCAAAAATGAGAGACTGCCCTTCAGTATGCTTAGCTGAGACCAGAGCTCAGAGACAGCTGAGCATGCCCCAGAGCAAGCTAGTGAGAGGGTGGCTCAGTGAGACAGATTCTGCCTTTGAAGGGAGGGAAACCTTGGTTCTGACCCTGCTCCTGTCTCCCCCAGGGGTATTTCTGTATGCGCACTGGATAAATGGATAGGTAGCAGTGGGATAGCTTCTGCACCACTGAGCACTAAGGCCAAAATTGTAGGCCTCTGCTGTAGAGGATAGTGCCCAGCTTACTGACACTTGCTCTCCTGCTGGCCCCTGGGCTGCCCATGGGCCAGTTTCAACCGGAAAGGTAAAGGGTGCACAAGGCTATTGGCTAACAGGGAGGAGGGTCCTTTGTCAAACAGTCACCAATTGCATTTTTTCTGTGACTAACATTTCAGGGCACAGACAGAAGTTACATTTGTCGTGTGATCAACCTCCTGAAAGCTCTCTACAGCCATGACGTGACACATGTATGGCTACAGACCACTTTAAAAGGGTCGATCGTGTGACAAATTAACCTTCATCTAATGAGAGATCAGATGAAGGCGCTCCACTTTGGAACTTCAGTTCTCTAGGGTCAGTCCCTTCCTGCAGTGCCCCATTCCTGC